TTAGTTCATCTTTGAAGTTTTAATAGCGTTCATTTGTAAAGTCATCTGGTCCTGGACTCTTTTATTTTTTGGGAGTTTTGATTACTGTTTCAATTTCCTTGTTTGTGATTGGCTCTTTTAGGGTTTCAATTTTTTCCCTCTTCAGTCTCAGATGATTGTATAAATCTACTGAATTGTCCATTTCTTCTAGGTTATTGAATTTGTTCACATACAAAAGTTCATAGTAGCTCTAATTCTCCTCTGAATTTCTGCAGCATCTGTTGTGATTTCTTCTCTTTAATTTTTGGTTCTATTTATTTGAGTTTTCTCCCTTATTTTCTTGGTGAGCTAGAAGTTTATTTTCTTCTTTTCAAAGAACTGGATTTTGCTTTGTTGATCTTTTCGACTGCCTTTCTTATTTCTAATTCACTTACATGTGCTATGATTTTTGTTATTTCTCCTATTCTACTGGCTGTTAGAAGTTTTAGAAACAAAATCAGGATACTGGAGGCAAAAAATGAAGCCCTAAATAAGATAAATGGAGGGTTTTATTTTTTTAATGGAGTCTTCTGATTCTTAAGTTGAGAGAGTAGGTTACTTATTTCAGCTATTTCTTGTTTCTTGATGTGGGCCTATATACTTCCCTCTTACTAGTGCTTTTGTTGTGTCCCATTAGTTTTGGATAGTAGTGTGCTTGTTTTCATTTGTCTCAAGGTATTTTTAAATTTTTTTCTTAGATTTACACTTTAATCCAGTGGTGTTTCCTCTTTCCTTTTCCATTTATACATTTGCAAGTTCAATTACACTGACTTCTTATTCCACTTCATCTGTTGTTCTTCTGTTACTTTCTCCTGAATTTTTAATCTCCTACATTTCTCTTTTGAAATCCTGAAACTCCTTTTTTATCTTATTTAGGGCTTAATTTTCTGTCTCCAGCACCTTGATTTTATTTCTAAGGACATTTACTTTTTTTCTGAGTTTTTTTCCTTTTCTTTGAATGTCTTTATCATTACCATTCTAAACTCTGTATCTGACAGGGAGAACATAGCTTCCATAGCTATGAATTTGGATTGTGGAGATTTGTTCTCTGTGTTCTTTGCACTATTCCTTTGAGAACTCATGTTGCTGTTTGTTATGTTTTTCCTTCTGCCCATTATTAGCTAGTGTATGTGGGGTTTCCGGTGGGTGTGGCTCCTCTCTCCTCACTTGTCAGGGGTCTCACTTATCTGCTCAAGCAGCTGGCAGGATCTCATGGTATGTCACCAGGCCTCTGCTGGTCTGGGCAGGGGTTAGTGGGGCTGCACAGGGGGTCATGAGGCCTCTGGCCACTCTGGCACCCTCCCAGAAGTGAGTACCAGTTAAAAGTTCTTCCTCTATTCCTCACTCTGGATAAAGTACTCCATGCTCAACCTTCCTATTGTTTCAGTCCATACTCACATCCTTACTGAAACCTCAGTAAATTGGATTAATTATCTGATCCAGTCTTCTCTTTAAATTCCATCAGCATGCTAATGACTCCACAGTTTATATCTCTAACCCAAATCTCCCTCCTTGAACTCCAGACTCTTTTAGTTAACTTCCTACTAACATTTCCACTTGGATGTCTGATGAGGCATCCCAGACATAATGTATCCAAAATTAAGCTCTTGCTTTCCCTGTAGCTCTTCCTACTTTAGCTTACGACAACTCTCACTTTCCACTTAAGGCTAGAACCTTGAATTCTCACACTTCCCAATTCTCACACTTCCCATTAGCCCGTCAGGAAATCCTTCAAAATATATCTGGATATAACTCCTTCACAGTTATCATCCTGATTACTCATCTGAATTATTATAGTAATACCCTAAGGTTCTCCTGACCTTTGACATCTTAATAACTGTTCTCAACTGTTTAACGTAAGTTAGAGCATATTACATGCAAAAACCCTTCAACAAATTCCCATTGAGCTCCAAATAAAAACTAAAGCTATCATGGCCTACACGACCAATATGGCCTGTGGTTGCCTGTCTGATCCCCTATCCTGTTTCTCTCCCTGTGTGTGGTCGTTCAGCCACACCAATTTCTTTGCAGTGTTCAAACAGCCAATCGCTGCTCCTGGACTGGGGCCTTTCCTCTTGGTCTTCTTCCTGGGCTGCCTTTTCCTTCCAAGAGAGCCATTTGGCTCATTCCCTAACTTCCTTTAAGTCTTTGCTTAAGACACTGTCTCAGTGACGTCTGCCCTAATCACCTAGTTCATAATTACAACCTATCTTACCCTCTCTTGTTTCTTTCCCCACTTACTGCAAACTACTTCCCTTTTAGAATGCTACTCTCTTTTATTTTCTGTTGACTGTTCTCTCCATGCTGGGAAATAAGCTCCACAAGGGCAAGGATTTTTCTCTTTTTTTCCATAATGCCTGCATAAAACAATGTTTGGCATGAGTAATTAATAAGTAATTACTTGATTGAATTAGATTAAATTTAGGTATTTACATCTGAAAATCTTTTGGCAATCTTTAGTTCATATAAGTAGACCTTATAAGGGAAAAAGATGTGCGAGTCCTGGATATAAGGAAGATAAATTTCACCAGGAAAATTTGTTACCAGCTGTAGATCTATATCAGCCTTATTGTGCTTCTCAATGTCATTTGGTATTAAATTATGGTTAGTCCAGTGTTGACACGGACTGGATTTGAGATTGCCTTCTTTCTCACAACTAACAAGGCTTTAATCAGGGCGTTAAGGAGCGCTAAATATGCCTTGCTTTTGAATCTGCATATCAGGAGGGGGCTGGGAGCCTGAGTAGGAGGATGTCATGTCCCAGTGATTAATGATCTCTAGGAAGCTGACAAGGAGAGTAATATACACAGTATTCCTACCCCCTGGAGTCGGAATGCAAACACCATTGTGCGGTTCTGTGCATAGTCACTGACTTCCTGGTAGCTGGAGAATTTCATACACTCTCTTACCACAAATAAAACTGTCAGAGAAGTGACAGAGCTCAAAACACTGGCCTTCCTTACTTAAAAAGAATAGCTCAGACACAGTGAGCCAGAAAATTAATTTTGTAGCTGTTTGGGAACCTAGTTTAATGAGAAATGGGGAAATGGGAATTTTTCTTGAAAAGCGCTAAAACCTTCAAATATTTGTTAAATCAAGCTCTACATTTGGTTTCTTAAATTTACCAAATTCCTAGAAACTGCTTATTTTAAATGAATTTAAGGAAAACTCCCTTTGTAATGAAATGGATGGTTCTAAACTTACTCATGTGGTCTCTATGGGAGAGCCAGAGAATCATGCTATGGATGCCAGCGTCTGTTGCCCTGTGTTGAAAAAAGATCCTAACATTTCACAATGGCTTCTGAATTTCTGACATTTCACAAATGACTTAAACAATTTTAGAAAGAAATTCTAAGGTAGAGTTCATGTTTTTTTTCTTTCTTTTATTCCCAATGAATTTATAATTTTTAATGTTTCCAAATCCTTAAGTCCGAAAGCGAAACATTTTTAAGAGATAAGAGACTACACATGGGTGCAAAAATTTTTTAAAGAACATTTGTGGGAAAAGCAATTTTTTCCATCCAGTTGTGATTATTTTCAGGTTACCCAAATGTGAGGGACTTTTACAGACAGTAGCAGTAAGAATAGCAGCAGCAATCAGCAGTATTAATAACAGTAGTACATTTTTAGTGCAGACAAAAAAAAGTTTAGGAACCATTCTCTCATAGGACTTGTTAAATTATTTTTGCTCATGATTAAGATTCTTTTGATGCCCCATACATTGCTACTCGTTGTGCACTATAATATTTAAACTTTGATTTATTACAAATTTTTTCCATGATATAAAAAGAAGGGAAATATTTTTTTTGGAGAAATGGAACCACATTTGAGGGGAAGGGAGGAAAAAACCTTGTATTATATTTGTTGTGTTGTTTATTTTCTTTTATTTTTGAGGGTATAACTATAAATTCAAAGGAACTACTATGGTCTAATCAAGACAATCAAATGGATGAAGTGCTGAATTTAGTTTCCAAGTGGTTAGACTTTTAAATTGCATTTGCAAGAGTTTATTTTTAGTCAGGATGTAGTTATTTTTAGATCTGCTTCTCAGTCACTAGGAAATATAATGCCTGTCTTTCCATTGTTGTTTATCAGGAAGTTCTGAGGCACAGGCTTATAAGATTCAGTTAGCACAGAACATCACCTCTCCTGTTAGATATAAGAATAGGAAATAATACATTAAGAAAAATATATTAATTGGAAATATGTCTAATTTTTAAAATGTTATTATCATCTTAATCTCTAGTACACTGAGCAGCAGGAAAAGATTTTTAGGGAATACCAAAATTACAAGGTTTGGGTTCCCCCTACTGGTATGCCTCCCAGGCGCCTGTATTCATTAATAGATAGCAGAGCAACCTAGGGAACAGAAATTTCAAATAGCTATGTTGGCTTCTTTTAAACAGACCTGGTGATGAGAGAGACAGAAAAAGCACCATTACCTATTTTCTGCTAATGTCTTACAAAAAAATGGATGATCTAAAATTTGTGTTTTCTACATCTAGAAAGAGCAAAACAATCCTATAATACTTGGTTTTTAATGTTGTCTCTATAATAAGCTACTTATATATAGTGCTTCTCAAAATGTTTTACGTTGTAATCTAAGGAATAATAAAATACCACTGGATCCACAGAAGGATTTAAAACCCCAAGGAAAAAAATGCAAAGCTAGTATTATGTCATAATAAAATTAAAGAGCTGGTGTTAAAGCTCACTAATACCTATAACTATTTTAGCATTTTAGAAAGTGACATGACATCATGTGATTGTGTGTGTCTACTTAACATCTGTTCTAATAGTCATATGTGTATTTGAAACAATTCTTTATTTTCTCTCTTAATAAATACCAAGTAATATTAATGGCACGTTTTGAAAAAGAAAAATTTTAATTGACTCCTAAAACACTCCTGAACTTCTTATGCTTGCATTTTAAAGGACTAATCAATCAAATTAAAATACTGTGTTTTTAAATTGCTTTTCAGCAATGCAGTCAACCTTTTAAGCAATGTTCCGGTCTCTTGTTTGGATGTTCTCATTTGTCCATTAACCCATGAAGAAACAGCACAAGAGGCAACCACTCTAGATGAACTGCCCAGTGACAATACAGATGAAAAAGGAACAGTTTTGAAAAACAATACCATGGTATACAATGGTATGAATATGGAAGCTATTCATGTTTTACTCAATTTTATGGAGAAGAGAATAGACAAGGTAAGGCTGATAAAATAAAGGCCTTGGGAAGATACTTATAAAGAATACAAATGTGACAAATGTACAAACATCACAAGACATGATTTTTAAATCTAAGCTTTTTTAAATCTAAGCTTTATATATATGTGTACACATATATATGGCTGACATCTTCCATTGTTGTTTATACTCTTACTTTGTTACAACATGATAAATTGCTGAAACGAAGTTGAAAATTGTGTTGATACAACACCAAAATTGTGACTAATGCATGAACAAAGGGAAAAATGAATTGCTTTCTGTGTAGGTATTTTGTAAAGTGATAGAAATAAAAAGTATCCTTCCCCCAAACACTTGATGATAAACACTTTCCAAAATACCTAAAATATATCTTTTTTTTTTTTTTTTAAACAATTTTCTGTTGTTGGCAGCAAGGTGGTAGGGGTGGGCCATCAAAGCTTTTCCATCCTCTAAGGTCATTGAGGGCCAGTGAGGACTCTAGAAAATGTAGGAAAATGCAGGAAGGATAAAAGTGGGTGTTAGTAAACATGAAACTGATAAAATGGAAATATTGTTAGGAAAATAACTTTTAAAATGATTTGTAAAGATCTGGTAACATAAGATTTCGCCACCTCAAAAAAGGATTATTAATATGCTCAATTATGGCAGAAGTGATACTGTTAGAAACTAATGTGGTATGTATGGTTTTCTTTATAGGGAAGCAGCTATAGAGAAGGTCTAACTCCAGTTCTCAGCTTATTAACAGAATGTTCCCGAGCCCATCGAAACATCAGAAAATATCTCAAAGATCAGGTAAACGCTTAGTGTATATTACATGTGACAGTTAATCTTTTATATATATACATATATATATTTAATATTGGATGAGTTAAATTCTTTCATGAGTTGTTTTTTTTTCCCCAGAAAGTCAGAAATTTGAAAAAGTAAAGTTTTAATCTTTGAAATTTTCCTAATCAAGAAATAAGTGATCCTGTTTGTGTGTGTGTGTTTTGAGTCATTGATTCATTTCTTCAACACATTTACTTATATCTATTATGTGCTATATTTTAAGCATTGAAAGACAGATGAAGTCTTTGCCTTGTGAAGTTTACCTTATAGTCGGGGAGGGGAACAAAAAATAAATAAATATTTGAAAGTGTTCTGAAGAAAAATACAGAAGAAAAAGGGGAGTCTTGGGGGAATTAGGGAGGACCTCGCTGAGGAAACAACATTTAAGCAGAAACTTAGATAAATATGTAACGTATCTCTAAGGATATCTGGAAGAGCAATGTGCCAGAGAGGAAGAGTTCAAAGTCCCTGAGAAAAGATGCTTTGGTATGCTTAAAGAAAGCAAGAAGACTAAGCCACAGCGCACAGGTAGGGGGATAGTGTTAGGTGAGGGTAGAAAAGTAATGAGGAAACAACATAAAATTGTATAGGATTTTTCATTCTCTTCTAAGTGAGATTGGACCATTTTGAGAAGAGGAGTAACATGATCTCATGGATATTTAAAGATACTCAAGCTACTACTTGTAGGGTGGACTAGAGAAATATGAGTCGATACGAGGAGACCAGCACAAGAGAGAGCCAACATGAAGGTAGTAGTAAAAAATAACCAAAGATTCCCTTATGAGGAGGAGGCACTGCAGATTGTGATCATCAAGAAAAAAACTTTGATAACAGTGTAAAATGAACCATGGCTAATAAATTATACTATGTCTTACAGTGACCACCTGATTAAACCCAACTCACGTATACCAAAGGAAATTGGTCCTGAATATTCTGTATTTGGGCAGGTAGAGAAGAGACCAGATGGTAGAAATTAATAACCCATGTTGGGTTAGTTTGGAGAGGATTATATAAGAGATGAGGTTTCTGTGGATTTGAAAAAAGGAATTGGGAAGATTTTCCAAAAATATTATTGGAGGGTAATATTTAGGAGGGAGGAAATAGGACCCATTTATGTTGACTTTTTCTGGGAATAGTATATGATGATAAAACATTTCTTTTTTTAATTTTCTTTAAGGAACCCAATACATTTTGTTTGATAAACATTTGTTAATAAGTTCTGTACTCTGGAGCTTTAGGTACATACTCTGAAATCACTTGTTGCGTATCTCATCCTTTTAGAAATGGGAAATAAACCCAGTATGAGCGACTGAATCAAAGAATAAGATTTTATTGTGCAGTTACCTGGTCTCTAAAGAGTACAAAGAACATGTGCGCGCCCCGTCATAGATATTGAAATGTGGATCCTGTAAACACTATGGGTAGATTACTCAATTTTGTGGCATTTAGTTTCCATTTTTGTTCATAGCTTTATCTCCAGTGCCTCCAGTACATGATGGATATGCAGTATAAAAAAAGAGGGAAAGAAGAAAATCAGCTGAAAGGATTAAATAAAATACACATAAAGAGTCTGACACAGTAAACAATAATTTGACTTTGTATCTATCCTCATTTCTTAGCATAGTACCTAGTTCATAGAAGTCTCTTTTATCAAGATAACATTACTTGAATTAATTTTTTTCAATCAGCAAGTATTTATTGAACACCTATAATGTGCCCAGTGCTGAGAAACATATATAAGAAAAAAAAATTCTGCCTCCTGGAACTGATACTCTGGAAAAAGGTAGAAAGTGAAGAAGTATTTACTGTGTCAGGTGATAGTGCTATAGGAAGATTAAAATAGAGTAAGGTAGAGTGATAAGAAAGAGAATACTAAAGATTTGCTACGTAGGGTGGTCAGGGAATGTCTTCTATAAGTGACATTTGAACACAAAGACTTAAAGGGATCTTTAAGCTTTCAAATTTCTAGAACAAGAGCTACTAGGCAGAGGGACAGCAAGTACAAAGACCATGAGGCAGGAAAGTGCTTGGCGTTCCATGGAGGTCCTCCTGGCTGTGGCAGCATAAGGAATAAATATAGCAGAAATGTAGTCAGAAAAGTAACAGGAAGCCAAATTATGTGGGGTTGTAAGGACATTGGAGTTATGTGCAATTAAGGGAGTTGTAAAGACCTTATCTTTAACTATGAGATGAGATGCCATGGAAACCGGAGAACTGTGAGAACAATGATATATAACCTGACTGTCAAAGGATCAGCCTTGCTGTTAAATAGAGAAGAAATTATAGAAGGACTAGAATCGAAGCGGATCATTTAAGAGGCTAGGGTAACATTCCAGGAGAGAAATATTGATAGTTTGGTTTTAGTCATACTTAGTAGGGAGCAAGAAGTGATTAGATTGTGAATGTTTGTTGATAGATTGGATGTGGGGTTGAAAAAGAAAAATCAAGTCTCTCTGCAAGAATTTTGTGCTATACAGTTGGAAAAATGTACTTGCCATTTAATGAGCTGGAAAACTAGAAAGAACAGCTGTGGTGGAAGCATCAAGAATTTTGTTTAAACCATGCTAAATTTGAGAGAGACCTACAAAAGTTTGGAATCAGGAAAAAAATCAAGATGGAGATATAATTTTGGGAGTTACCAGTATACAGAGAGCATATAAAGCCATAAAACTAGATGAGAACACCAATTGAGTGAGTGAAAATAGTGAAGAAATCCCAAGAACTCAGCCTTGAGTATTCCAACACATATTAAAAAAAGAAAAAAATTGGCAGAAGTGATTGAGATGAGGCCACCAATGAGACAGGAGGGAAACCAGCAGAGAGGAGCCTGGGTGGATGGGTAATGGAGTGACTGAACAAAGGACAGACAAACTAAGCAAATTATCTAAGTCCTCTGGAGTGCTGGTGCTGTGCTACCTCCTTGGCAGGATGAGTGTGAGTACTGATTAGAGAGAATGTGTGTATACCATTTATTACATCAACTAACACATAGAAAGTACTCAATGATCAGTAACCATTTTTATTATGAAACAACTAAAAAATAAAAGTAAAGACTTTTTAAATAAATCCTGGAGATGCTGCAGGAATTAAAAGAAGATAAAAATCAGAGTAAGTCAGGATATTATGAAAGTGTCTATGAAAAAAAAACTTTACCCAGACTTTAAAATGGATTTTGATAGAGGCAAACAGCCTTTCTAAATGCTGAGCTGAGTAAAAATTGGAAATAGATTTTGTGTATATCATGGTAGTATTGAAGAGAGAGGTTTCTCTTCCAATGAAACCTCATTACAGGAATGAAGTTATTTGAAGTTTATTTTTTGTTGTTTTTTTTGGAAGTAAACCCATTTATTTGTTTTTCCATTCTTAGAAAAATGAAGCTCAGAGTATATGACAAGACTGACCAGTTGCATATTAACATCCTTGTTTACTCTAATGCACCTGATTTACGATGATTTTTGCATTTGTGCCATTAGGTTTTACCACCATTGAGGGATGTGACAAATCGGCCTGAAGTTGGCTCAACTGTGAGAAATAAGCTGGTCCGCCTCATGACACATGTTGACCTTGGAGTCAAGCAAATTGCTGCTGAATTCCTTTTTGTCCTTTGCAAAGAGAGAGGTAAGTTAATTTCTCTTTGCCAATATGTTTTTTATCTTTGTGCAAATTTGAGAAGTTTTTCTGTTAGAAGTGACCATTTCATTCCACTCTTTTCAGAGCTTTTTCTCTCTCTGTTCTATTAGAGGACCTAAAGAGATATTTAAATTAATAATTTTAAAACATTTTCTTTATATCCCTAAAGTCTTTATCACTTCGCAGCAGGCCTTTTGACTAAGATCAAGTGTAGTATATTCCTAAAGTCTTTGAGACATCCTGCTATACTACAGACAAACCCAAACTTGCTAATCTTGATGAGTCAGGACCTGAAACCATTTTGAAACAACTGCTTAAGTAAATCAGGTGCTACTATTTTAATAACTTGGCAAATACCTGGATTCATTCACCTTTTTCCTTCCCTTTGGAATTAAAGCTATAGGAGTTTTGGTTTCTTCACTAGGTCCTTTAGTCAATAAATAGTTGTTAATGTAACCGATATAATACACTAACTGGAAATACAAAAATGGCTGAGTCACCCCTTACCCTTGAGATAAGATAGAGGTAGAGAGAAATTTTTAAATAACTACTAAAGTATAATAAATATGTGTCTTCTGAGATATATTTAATAATTCAAAATATTTCCTAAAATTATATGGTTATTTGCTCTACAGAAGGCAAGATCTCTAAGCAAGGAATTTTAGTTAAGTTATTCAGATATTCTTACCTAGTTCTTTATCTCCTAGTTCATAAATGTGTTAGTATAAAACTCCCATCTGAGCATATTTTTATTCCACTTTTTTTGAAGTACTCCAGTTTTGTGAGATCTTAGATAATTTGGTTGTGGAAAACTTCATTCACTTCTATGAAAAATTTAAGTCACTTGAATTCTCTTCTCCCACCACCTTCTTTATTGAGATGTCATAGACAAAATTGTATATATTTAAAATGTGTTGATTTGACATATATATACATTGTGAAATGATTATCACAGGTTAATTAACACATCCATCACACAGAAATTATCTTCTTGCTTGTGTGGTGAGAGTGCTTAAGGACGACTCTCGGCAAGTTTCAAGTGTGCAATACAGTGTTATTACTTGCAGTCACCATGCTATAAATTAGATCTCTAGAACTTATTCATGTTATTACTGAAAGCTTGTTTCCTTAATCAGTTATCTCCCTTTTTCTACCTCCAGACTGCTGGTAACCACAATTCTACTCTGTTTTATGAGTTTGACTTTTGTTGTTTTTTAGATTCCACGTACAAGTTAAATCATAAATTATTTGTCACTCTGGCTTATTTCACTTAGCATGATGCCCATGTGGTCCATCCACCTTGTCTCAAATGATAGGATTTCCTTCTTTATCATGGCTGAATATTTGTGTGCGTTTGTGTCTGTGTCTTCGTTATCCATTCATCTGCCAATGCGCATTTTGTTTGTTTCCCTATCTTCACCATCATGAATAATGCTGTAATGAACATGGGAGTGCAACTATCTCTTGGGGATACTGATTTCGTTTCCTTTGGAGGTATACCTAGAAGTGGGTTTGCTTGATCATATAGGTAGTTCTGTTTATTTTTTTAGTACCTTCTATACTGGTTTCCATTATAACTGCCACCACCAGTGTGCCAACAATTACCTTTTTACCACATCCTCACCAACATTTATCTCTTGTCTTCTTAATAAGAGCCATCTCAACAGATACGTGGGGATATCTCGTGATTTTGATTTGCATTTCCCTAATGATTGGTGATATTGAGCACCTTTTCATGTATCTATTGGCCATATGTATGTCTTCTTTGGGGAAAAATGGACCTCTTTATTTGGGATTTTTTTCTTGCTGTTGAGTTGTATCCATTGATTTTTTTTTTTTTTTTAAGATTTATTTATTTTTTATTTATTTATGCAAGCACTGGGTACAGTCAGAAGCACGGGAGGGTGAGAGAATTCACCAGAGCCAGAGCGGGGAGCAGAGGGGCAGAAGGACTGAAGTACACTGCTGAGGGGAGCAGCGGGCGGCAGGAGAGGTCTGCGCGCCATGCGGGACCCTCCTCCGGTGGCTGGGGAGCAGCTGGGGATCGAACCGGCGCTGCAGAGGCTGTGGGCAGCTTCGCAACCCAGTGCTCAACCGCTGTGCCACTGGGGAGGCCCTCCATTGAATTCTTAAATTTCATTTCTGACTAATTGCTCTCTCTACTTCAGTTCCTCTTAAGATGATACAGTAGCAACATAATTTGATCAATGTCATAATGATAATAAATTCAGCTTTTATGTATCTAGGTGCCTTATATTAGACATTCTGTGCATAATGTCACTTAATTTTCATAATGCCTAAATAAAGTAAGTAGTATCGTTGTTTCAGTTTCATAAATGAGGCACACTGGTACTTGAGAGTCTTTTAAGAACTTATACCTAGCTCACGTAGGTGCTTAGGACTAGCGCCTAAATCCTTTTCCATTTTGCCATGTTTCCTATCATAGTAATAATGTTCAACTATTATAGTTTATTTAGCATCTGCTCTTTTAAACAATTTAATTATTTCATGACTTTGGAAAAAGATTTTAGAGTCTTGGAATTAGGTGACTGCTATTAGTACCTTGCATGTAGTAATCACTTGATTTTTTTCTAAAATCAGAAATGGGCTACTTTTAAAGTGTAGCTTTGTATGTATGTACATAAATCAAAATAACATGTTATATTTTAATTTTAAAAGATTTATCAAAATATGCACTAAAATGCTATTGTTACCTTGGAATAGTAGGATGACTGGTGATTGTTTATAATTCTCTGTATTTTACTATTTTTCTACAAGGAGCATGCCTTTCTTGTGCACTTTTTAAAAAGTCGTTAAAGGGGGGAAAATAAAATGTATTTTATATATTCAATATGTATCTAGGTAAATATTGCATATCTAAATTATAACTAAATGATTGTTCCGAATAACGATTGTCTAACTGTAATCACCTTACCAACATGTTAGAGTAAAATGCATTTATCATAGCAAATATGGTATAAGTATTTATAAATGAATTTGTTAAGTTTTCATCATTTGAAATAGATTTGTTACTATCCCTGGTGTACAGTATTTGAGGTTTGATAATCCTAACTTTGAGGCCAACCCACATTATCAAAATATTGTCATTTTCTCTGAGCCTTTAACAGTTCTATAAATACCAATCTGCTTTTCTTTCCAATGTGATTATAAGTTCAGGAGATATACTCTACTGAAGTAAAAATTTACTAATTTCGACAAACACATTTTGAGCTAAATCCTGGGAATACAGAGCTATTTTATGCAAGATAAACAAAAGTCTCTGCCTTGTTTTTATCACAACTCAAGGGTCACAGACTCGATGCCTACAGGTGCCAGGCTGTTAATAAAAGTAAGTCAGATACACTGGACACAGCTTCATAAATGATGAAAACTGTCACTTAGCTCATTATTGGGAGAGACAGTAGGTGTGAGTAGGGGAGAAAGAGAATTGGAACGAGGACATTGGAGCTATTTAGCTCTGATGTTAGGAACAATTATTTAAGGAACATATGGCCAGAGTTACGAGATCTTCCAAATTTTCAAGATTTTTACATAAAATCTCCCAGCTTTTAAATGTTTTCAATTCTAATTTAAAACCTTCACGAAAAAACCTCCACACTGTTTGTAGTCTGTGTTCAACTTATTAAGTAACCAGAGTTTGGAGGCAGAATATATTAAAATTAAATAAATGTCAAAGTTATCAGGGTGACTAAACTATCCTCTTAAGGTTGTTCAAAGCTAAATTTGAAAATGAAGGTACCATAATTGAGGTTTAAACAGACCACAGGGCAGAGGAAGCAAGCAGCAATCAAACTGGGTTGGGAATACGGAAACTGAATTAAGAAGGGTATTTGAAAAGGGGTGGGATGCAAAGGGCAAAACTGTATGAAAGACTTGGCAAAGGAAGAGCCATTTAATTGTCTCAGATACCCATTTGTGAGTGGTCAGACTGCATCTCCAACTACTATTTGCCCACAGGTTAATTTACAGTACCACTTGTTTTTTTGAGCCGTACCAAAACTGAACTTTTATTGCCTATTAATGCAAATTGTTTGGTACAGGAGACCTTAAGATAAACCTTATATACTTTAGTAAATGAAAGTAATTTGTAAAATGACCCCCTGCCTTTGTGGGTTTTCCATCTTTTCGCACATGCATTAATTCCCCATATGTGCCAGGCATCATGGCAGGTGTACTAAATTCCAGAGGTGTACTCCTCAGCACAGAGCCCCAACCTGTAGACTTACCTTTGCCTCCTTTATTTCAGTTTCAGAGGAATAGGTGTCCCTAGCTCAGAAATAGTCTCCCTTTCCTATTGTTCTGTTCTTGACTGTCTTCTCAGAAGCCTTGCTCCATCAGTTGTTACCCTCTATTCTTTTGTTTTCTAACCCTCCCTATGTTTTCCTCAACCTATACACATCTCTTCATGTTACTGTTTTTCACTTCTTAGCATCTTGAAAGACTGTTGGTTTTCTTTGTCTCATCCTTACTAACCATGCAGTGTTCAACTTGCTGCAAATCAGGCTATTCATTACCACTCCCTACCCCTTCCAACCCCTCCACCCCTCCCCAAAATGCTTTAAAGTAAGGTTACAAATTAATTTTTTTAAATAATGGGTGTGTTTTTAGTCTTTATGTTACTACATCTCTTGTAACAGTTGACACTATTGACCACTCTCTTTGTTTCTGTGCTACCACATATACTGGATTTCCTTTGACCTACCTCTCTGTTCATTCTTTTCAGTTTTATTTGCTAACTCCAATCTTTGTCCATATTTAATTGCTAGTATTCCCTAGAGTTCTCTTCTGGCCCCCTCTCTCACTTCATATTGCTTCCTGAGTGATTTCATCTTCTTCCTTCACGTCTGCCTCAGCCCTTTTGCTGGGGATTCCCAGATCTGTGTCTCTTCATAAACTCTTAAAATAATCATATCTCTGTTTCTAGTCAGCTTTTCTTCAGTCTGTTTTCCACATGCCTAACAGGAATAGTGCTAAAATGCAAATATAATCTTGTCATTTTCCCTTGTAAAACTTCTAGTAACTTCCTATCACTTGCATAGTAATTCCAAATTTTACCTCCATGACCTACTTCTAGGTATTTTCTGTACACTCCTACCTTATACTTTCTGTTTAATCATACTCAGTTCTTTATCTTTGCTTGATAATTTTGCATTGTTTTTTGGCACATTTCCATGGCTTAGCAGATGCCTTTTCTTTTGCATGGGGGATACCTTTCCCCATCTTTGTTAGCATGGTGAACTTATCTTTGAAGATCATCCTATGCATCGTCTTTATGAAGCCTTCTCTGATTATCCCAGGCAGAGCTAATCACTCTCTGACTTGTACCATTTTTTTATTCTTCTGACATTTGTAGTGTTGTAACTCTCTTTGTCAAACTTGCATTCTAGACATTGAGCTTCAAAATCTCTTCATCTGTGTGTCCTCAGTGTTTAACAAAGTACCTTACAGATTGTAAGTGGCCTGTAAATGTTTAATGAAACAACAGATTTTTGTGTTGTCTATGAATTCAGTGTGGTGAATACACTGTTTTATATATTTCCCCATATAAAGGAATCAGTGCACTGTGGTAAGCATCATAAGGGAAAAAATGTGCCATGTAATAGGGCAGCCTTGAAGAGGGAATGCTTGGGTGATGTATACAGAGTCAGAGAAAGTCTTCAGAAAAGGGGACAGAGAAATGTAAAACAGCCTTGGTATATAGAAAAAAGAGAAAGTCCAGATGTAGAGAATCCTCAGTATTCAGGAATAAGAAGAAATGAATTTGGAAAAGAAGACAGAAAATGAAGAACCCCTTAAGGCCCTGATTTAAAAATTGATCTTTAACCTGTGGGACAGTAGAGTTTTTATCCAGGAAAATGATAGAATCATACAAAGGTATTATCAAGCAGTTGTGTGGAAAGGGAATGGAGAGGTATGAGACTAGAAACAAGGAGGCTAGTTAGAGGAAGCTGTACTATAGAATTTCAGTATTTGACTGAAAGGATTATAAATCCATCTTTGTGTAACAGATGCAGGGAATGGTGTCTGGGCAGAATCTAGTTCTGCTATTCTTTCTCTTTGGTAAAGAGCAAAACTTTTTTTTTGTTCGTTTTCATGGCAGAGGTGATAAAACCCACATTTGTATAAGAAATGACTGTCAGCACAGTGCTAAGTACAGTGCTGCTGTGGCTGCTGTCCTCAGTTCCTAGTGCTCCCTGGCATCATGATAAAGTAATGGTGAAATATTTGTTGCTACTTTCTCACTGAATGCTGATTTATTGCATTTCTGCAGCATTTTCACATTGCTGTGTGGATGATTGCTGTGACAAAGAACAGATATATTTGTCTCCTTTTTTTTTTAATGGTCACCCAAAAATCTTTTGTTTGCTTTAGCCAGCTTAATTTAACAGGCAAGTTCAGTCAGTTTTCCTTTTACTACTTCCACAGTATTAAATAAGATTATTATACATTGTATTTGAAAACACACTGAAAAGTAGCTAGATGTCCCCTACCAAATAATGTCAGTCACAACCTCACAAAGAATATGCTTCTCATTGTGAGAATTTTGTAGTCTGTTTATCTTACCTCCCTCGCCCCCATTTTTTGAGGATTTTATTCTAATAACAAAAGTTCATTTGATTTACCTTATCTATTGTGAAGGCAGGGTATTTCTTAAGTCTTCTCTGTAGTACAAACTGTCACAGAATTGGCACAGAATGTCTAGTCCAGTGAATGGGCAATAAATGTTACTTTCATAAAAGTTCTAGGGATTTTCACTATTAGCTAACTTCCAGGAGGAATTTTTGCACTAGAAAGCAGGATATTTAGTATTCTGTTTACACCTTTTTACACTACTTTAGCCTTTCATGAATTCTGCATTCTTAAAGTGTGTTACTCTTTAGCCATAGTGGATTACTTACATTTTTGTATATCTTTAAATACTTATTTAGGGCCTCCCCTGGTGGCACAGCTGTTGAGCGCTGGGCTGGGAGGCTGCCCACAGCCTCTGTAGCGCCGGTTTGTTCCCTGGCCACTGGCGAGGGTCCCAGAAAAAAAATAATAAAATAAATAAATACTTATTTAAATATATTCATTTAAACCAGTCATAGCATTTCAATTTAGACTTTCACAATTTCAATGAATCCTTTTCTGGAACCTGTAATAAGCCTTTTCTAAAATGCTTACTTTGATAGTATCAGTGCCCCATAGCTTCAGATCTATGACCCAAAAGCCACAGTCACTTTGTGTCTGCCTGTGTGACCAGGTCATGTCTGCCCTGCAGGAATATCCAGATACTCTGGATATCCACTTCCCCTGATAGCCCATCAAGAATCCAGGAATTTATCTAAACCACCCCACACTGAGGAGAAGCTGCTGGCAAGAGAACAGATATATTTATTCTAAGGGCTTTTGTGGTCCCTTATTAAATTCTAACATGATTCTATGTAGCACCCACTGAGAATAATTACCAAAGTGACCACAGTTACCAATAGGTTTTTTTTTTTTTAAACTTTATTTTTTTCCCCCCAAGATTTATTTATTTATTTACACAAGCACTGGGTACAGTCAGAAGCGCGGGAGGGTGAGAGAATTCACCAGAGCCAGAGCGGGGAGCAGAGCAGGCAGAAGGACTGAAGTACACTGCTGAGGGGAGCAGCGGGCGGCAGGAGAGGTCTGCGCGCCATGCGGGACCCTCCTTCAGTGTCCAGGGAGCAGCCAGGGATCTAACTGGCGCTGCAGAGGCTGTGGACAGCTTCGCAACCCAGCGCTCAACCGCTGCGCCACCGGGGAGGCCCACCAATAGGTTTTAAGGTAGAAAATGGTTGAAAACAAACTATTTAATCTACTTACATTATTCATGTTTTCTTTTGCACAAATCTTACCAGTTTGCTGTGTTCTTTTGAAACAACTTTTTATTTGTCCCCAAACCACCTTAACTCCAAGTTAAGTGCTTTAAAATTTCATGAACAGCTCTATCCTGGAATATTTATCCTGTCCATGCACTTATGATTTGATACTCTAACCATATATATCCCTTCCTCTTACCCAGCTATTTCCTTGCTCACTGTCTCTTTCCAAGTCCCCAAAGTTATTTTAATTGATGTTCTCTGAATTTTCTTCAACTTTCTTTTTTTTTCAGTAAGTGATCTGAATTACAGTCATATTTTCCATAGAATATTTTATGGTTTGTTCCCTACAGTTATGTTTAAGATAATATTTTATTGAATGCCAGAAGTAAATTTTGTCAGTTTTAATCATTTGATTGACTATTCTAATATTCACCTTGAAATTGTACCTGAAGAAAAGAAAGTATCCCTAAATAAAGTTCTTTAATGATTGCTTAGTATCTTCCTTTAAGTTTCTTTGCAATAATCCCCAAAATTCCTACAGTTGAGGATTCCCCTGCAAAAGTCTTTTTACTTATGTTAGTGGTAACACTTTACACTGATTAACAAGGTGATATTTACAGAGGACTAGCACCAAATGCTTCAATGGGATTTTTTTCATTTTTTGACAGAGATAAGTTTAAAATGTTTGTTTACCTACTATTTCCAGGGGAAAGGAATGAGTGTTTACTTTGTGCCACATTCTTTTTAAAGCACTTTGCATGTGTTAACCTGTGAGGTAGATATTATTCCAATTTTCCAAATTAGAAAATTGGGGTACAGAACTACAAAATAATTTACTCTCAAGGTCAGCCATCTGGTAGAGCCATTCTTGGAATCCAGTCAGTCTGACTTCTGGACCTGCCTTCTCAGTGGGTTTTATGTGCTTATATATTGGGTACTAGCTTTTTTGTGAAAGTAACATTTTAGCCTATTTGTAATATCCTCAAGTTTTTTTATTTTTTATGTTGTTTCCCTTCAATTCCTTCATTAACTTGTTTCTAATTATTTCTCTAAAACTGGTAAAAGAAATAAATGCCTTACCACAGGGACCCCACTCCTAGCATACAATGTATTTACAACAACTCTGTTTTGATTTCTGATAGCCGAAATAAGACTTTTGGTCCTCAGAGCGTGTAGGAGAATTTCTAGTTCAGTATAACGACGACCTCAATTTGAAAACCTTTCAATTTAAGACTTAATGCCATGGCATGTAACGCATCCTCACTGTGTAGGTGAGTGGTCAGTGATGAGCACCCAAGGATTCCTGTCTAAAAACCTATTCTGTTTTTGCAGTGGATAGCCTGCTGAAATACACTGGCTATGGAAATGCTGCAGGACTCTTGGCGGCCAGGGGCCTCTTGGCTGGAGGAAGAGGAGATAATTGGTACTCAGAGGACGAGGACACAGACACTGAAGAATACAAAAATGCAAAACCAAAGTACAGTATCAAATTTCTTTTCACCTAACTATTGTCTGTGCCTTTGAGTTGGTTATTTGCTTTTCACTTCCTTTGTCTTTAATCTTCCTTAGTGTTTCTTTTCTTTTGTGGATTTGGAAGCTTTCTGTTTAATAGTGTTTTCAGAGGCCTTTTCATAGCTGGTACCTTAGAGAGTGATTTCAAGTGATTGAGAAGGATAATATTGCCAGAAATGTTCTGCTGCATTATATTTTCAACATGCTCATTATCCTCTCTCAGGTTTTAGGAGAGATGATGACGTTTTTAGATATCTGTCATAATTTAAAAGTGTTGTTTACTTTCCTTTCCATAGGTTGAAATTTTACAAGATCAAGTATTTAAGTTGGTTATTTGATGCTCAGTCTTTCTCAGATATCTAAATGTAGGTTCCATACATTCTGATCTTCCCTTTTGCATAAAAGCCCTTTGGGTCAAAAAATAAAGCAACTCAGTATGTTTTAGTCAAACACTTAGGCAGTCATCTTTGAACAGATACATTAATGCACTGAGTAGCCAAACCAGACACTTAAGTCTTCCCAAATTGGATGCTTACAAATGAGACACTAACTCTTATCATCCCATGTCAGTCACTTCTGTTTCCTTCTTTTCCCTCTGTATTCTTCTCACCCTCCTCTCAGGTAAATTTCTTAGTTTCCACTTGAGAGGTATTTGAGCTCAGTTTTCTGGTTTTCCTTACTGAGTGTTGAAAGGGTGTGGCCCTCACCTTTGGCATTGTCAGTGATGTTGACATGCTGTGTTCCCTGTGGTCAGTCCTCTTGAGTATGATGTGGCTCATGTAGTCATTGATCAAGGGTAGAAAATCACTGTCTGCAAAATTAACCTTCCTCCCATTTTTATAAGTATAGATTTTGCCCTAATGTCATGAAAGAAATGGGGTGTCAGATGGCAAAAGAAAAAATCCTTTCCTAATTAGGCAGGGATTATGGACCTGTATTCCTGGAAAATTAGGTCTTACTACAGGTTCTTTTAGCTAAAATCAGCAGCAGTGCTGTCAGCCTCAGCAGATTCTTATAAACTATATGCTTAGAAAAAACACTGGGGGGAGAAAGCTTACAGTGGGTTCTTAAATTAAAGCTGCCACCATTTAGATGTTATAAACTGGGCCTCTTATCAAGTATATAAAGCAAAAATGGAGGCTTTCTACTTTCTTCGTTCCTCATATAGAAATCATTCTAAATTAATTTTGCTAGCTCTTGATTTTTCCATTCTGTATCATCCATATCAGTTTAATATTATCTGTCCATTTGAAACATTGAAATATACCACTTGAGAAGTCTTTTAAATAATGTGGAAATTACATTAGGTATTCATTGTTTGGACATACTCAACTAAGAATACTTATGAGTACTCATGAATGTTTGATAACATTAAATCTCAGTGTGTATTGTTGATTTTGCTTGGGAGGTGACTTCTGTAACAGTAGTGGTCATATACTTTACAAGTATCAGAATGTTACCATAAGGAGAAGAGCTTAGAAAAAAATTTAAGAACACTGAGTCTCTACCAGTGGTATGAGAAATAGAAATGTGTTATATTATGAAGTGATATTCTATTTCAGGAGAGCACCTTCCCCCCCCCCCCCAATCAAGGAACATTATATTTTATATTGTTACTTTCTTAGAGCTCTAGCATAAGATTCTATATCTGACAAGCTATGTTTTCTACTAACAGTCTATTCTAGAGTATTATGTTGATCGTGTGGTAGTTGATCAGGGGTAGAACATCACTGTCTGCAAAATTAGCCTCCCAGCCTCCCCCCACCCTCCAGTTTTTATAAATATAGATTCTATACTTAAGATTCTCTAGTTTGAATTTTCTGTAGCCTTCAGACTAGCCTATACTGTTTTTGGGAACTGTGTTAGTGTGATCAAAAGAGTCATTGTGAAGTCTTGTATTTCTTAAACCTTGCTCATTACAAGTATGAATGTGTTTCTTAAGTCGCATCACATCTTCCCCTCAGGTAGATGACTGGTGACTGTTTTTTTTTTTTCCTCCCATCTTCCCTCTTTCAGTAAAACAGTGTGGTGTGGTGGGGTGTTTGTCAGTTTAACATACTTGTTCAAGTAGTTCCTGTGAAAGTGTTGGTAAAAAAAGTACTTTTTAAGCAAGACGGTCCTTTGTGTTCTGGGGAATGATCCATAGAGCACAAAGAGCTTTTTTCCTAAAAAACATTATGAAAAATTTGTACCTACCTAGTCAAACTTATAAAGTCTGCATCTAAAAGGACTACTTAGTCCCCTGCCCCTGATTACCCATCACCGGTCAATGTTTCCAAGATCACAGGTCTGTCTCTCTTACTTATAATAGTTGCTAGTATTGGCAGAAGCAGAGAAATCACCCTTCATCCAGTTGGCACTAGTCCCATTGTCAAAAATGTCAGTGGATTTTGATTATTGCACCAAGGTAACCTGTAATCCTATAATGGAATCTGAAACCAAGAATTGTAGGGAGCTTACATTCAGGCTATGGGAGACAGTTTATATTACAACAATCCTTTTTGTGTCAAAATAAATGTATTTAATGGACTGGAAATGGCTTTCTGCAATTAGCACACTTAGACAAAAAGTACTCATAGAATCTGGTACATGCCACACAGGATCTTGGTGTTTGTCTTACTAGGTTTGTTAAGTTTCCAGATGAATTTTGACCTCTATATCAATGAGAAGCCAAATCCCTAAATTATAACTTGTATCTGTTTCTTACATGTTCTGGGCATAGAAGCCCCTTGACTGTAAAGATGGGATAATATATCTGACTGATATGGTTTGTACATCATTCCAGCATCAATAGAAAGATGTGTATCTAATGCCATTTGGCTCATTTTGACCATGACTGTCAGGAAGGGTATACAGAAGCCGAGGGGTCCAAAAAAGTTATCTGTAAAGGGCTACTTTATGGAAGAACAGGAGAAAGGGATGGCCAAAGTCCACAGAGCTCAAAGAGACCTAGTTATACTCATTATACCTCACACTGACTCATAATCACATTCAGAACCTTTTTAAAATCATGTCCTAAGCAACCTTGGAGGGTTCTTGACTATTTTTCTCAGTTGTGGCAGCAGCTGTATAGCTAGTTTCTTCAGCGCTGGACAAGAGACTTTCAGTTGTGAGGATTTTATCAGGTCCCATTAGTTGTTTCCATATATTGGATCAATATAATTGAAAGGTTTTTTTGGTTTGTTTGTTTTTAATGTTTCTCAAAGTAAATGACCCAGAAACAAGGACTTGAAGATTTTAGTACTTGCCTAGTAAGAGCTGTGATGACATATTTATGTATAAAAAGATTTAGATAACATTTCTAGGAACTGGAATTTATTTACTATAAGCGGTCATGAAGCACAATCTAAATTCAGATCCCTGAAACATCAGAACTTTGCCTCTTCTGTCATATATGTTGGTTCCAAAAGTTTACCAGCCTTTGATATTTGTTTACCACACCAGTTTTTTGCCTTCAAAGTTACCACACCAGTTTTTTTTGCCTTGAGTTTTCTGATTTTTCTTTTGTATTATAATTTGGGTAAATGCCAGTAAGAAGCCAGGTGTGTTGACACACTACAGTGTTGAATTTACTCCAGGTTTAATTTTCTGTAGATTCACAATCATTAGTTTTCTCTACCTTTTATATCAAGGATATCATTCTTAATTCAACCTAAACCTAACATAGGAAACTTTTTTTTTTTTTTAAGATTTATTTATGCATACAAGAGCTAGAGTCCAGGCCAGAGAGGCGGGGTTTGAGAGGATCCACCAGAGATAGAGTAGGGGAGCAGAACAGGCAGATTGACTGAAATACACTGCTGAGGGGAGCAGCGGGCAAGGTAGGAGAGGTCTGCCTCGCCATGTGAGTTTCTTCCTGGCCGGCCAGGGATTGAACTCGTGCTGCGGAGGCTGCGGATTGCTTCATAGTGTGGTGCTTAATCCTTGCGCCACCAGGGAGACCCAGGAAACATTTTTAAAGAATTATAATTTTAAAAGATATTGTAGAGGTTTTTTTTTTAATTGCCTAGATATAACTTGGTGTTCATGTACATATAATATATTCAGTGTATATTTTTGCATGCTGATACATGATAAACACCTCATAAAAAGAACACCACCCTAGTTCTTTCCATTACTAACAGATTGTAAGAATTTGGATTAAGATGTGGTCTCATGATTTACCTTACTTTTTAAAATTTGAAACCAGTTTTATATTCCCAAATTACTTGAGTATTTTAGCCTCAGCCACCATAAACTGGTGTCGCTTCAAAGTATATCTGAATTTGTAGCAGACTCCACAGAACACCTGGTTGTTTCATGGCTTCGTTAATGTGAAGATTGCCCATGCAGCTCGATAGTAACCATCAACTGAATGGAATAACTCACCGTGAAATAATCATCCAGTGATTATTTCCCTGAAATCATTGAGTAAGTAAGTCTCTTACTTATGCTAATAAGAGCTGATATTTATTAAGTGTCATGTGCCAGTTACTGTTCTAAGAACTTTCCTGATACCTCATTTGATCTTTACAGCAATTCTTTGGGTAGGGTTCTCCCTGTTTTACAGATGAGAAAATGAAAGGTCAATGAAGTTAGTAACTTGTCTGGGATGTATAATAGTTCATAAGTGCTCAGGTAGGCTAACTGCAGAACTTGTGTTTTGGGGGAATTTTGTTGTTTGAGAGATAGACAAAGTATTATTCTATTATTTTTACCTTACTTGGGGGGTAAACTATACCTGACAAAATTCATTTTAGTGTGCAGACCTATATAGCATTATGTACACACACATTGTTGTTTAACTGCCACCATCCACGAGAACTTCATCTTCCCCAGTTGAAACTGTACACATTTCCCCCTTGCCACAGCCTCTGGTTAACCTCCATTCCACAACTAGGAGCCACACCTGAGTGGACTTTAAGAACTACATATAAGTGAAATCATACACAGTATTTGTTTTTCTGTGACTGGCTAATTTAACTTAGAATGATGTCTTTAAGATTCCTCCATCCTGTAGCATGTATCAGAATTTCCTTCCTTTTCAAAGTAGAATAATATGCCATTTTATGTATGTACCATGTTTTGTTTACTCATCTATTGATGAACTCTGGTTTGCTTCTACCTTTGGCTGTTGTCAGCATAGCCATGGAAATAACTGGTCCACTCCCTGTTTTTATTTCTTTTGAGTATATACCCAGAAATGGAATTGATGGATCATATTGGGTTTAATTTTTTGAGGAACCATTTTACATTCCCACCAGTAGTGTACAAGGGCTCCAATTTCTTCACATCCTCTCCAATATTTGTTCTTTTCTGCGGTTTTTATATACATAATATTCATCCTAATAGATAGGAAGTCAGAGCTTGTGTTTTTAAGAGCAACAGTATTTTTCCTCTCACCCAAAGGGAGAGATGAGTTTGCCTTTCAAATAGTTTGTGTTCCTAAAATATCTATTTCTTTGATACAGCCATAATAGAAAATAAGAGACAACATCTGGCTCTATCTTCATTCACAGTGCCTTCAGAATCCAGCTATCCCTTACTGCCAACACTGATTCAAGTCAAAATTTTCTTCCTCCAGGATCAGTTTAATAGCCTCCTAACTTGTCCTATAGCTTCTAACTTTGTCACTCTCTCTAATCATTCTCAGCAGCAACCAGTGTGATCCTTATAAAATGTGAGTCATTGTCACTGCTCCAAACTACATAGCTAAAAACCAGTCTTTGGAGTGATATGCTTCCACTCTTTCTAACTGTGCTGTCACCACACTGGCCTCTTCACTGTTCATCATGCTGCAGATACACTCCTGCATGAGGCCTGTGTACTGACTATTCCTTCTGCTTGTTCTCTAGAGAGCTACTCTCCTCTTTCCCTCACCTCGGTGAAGCTGGTTCTGTCTCCCCATTAAAAATTGCAACACTCCCTCCCTTCAACCCACACTTATGTTGCCTTTTTTTTTTTTTTCATAGTACTTACCACCTTCTAACATACCATGTAATTTACCTATTAAGTCTGTTTTCCCCACTAGAAGATAAAGTCCATGAGGGAAGAGATTTCTTTGTTTTTGTTGAGCTCTCTCTTGAATAGTGCCTTGCACACTGTAGGTACTCAGTAAATTTTTGAGTAAATTAATTTTCTGAGTTAAATTTGAGTTGTTTAGCTCCTCCTCAGCCTTAGGATATCAAGATGATTGAGTTACCTATCCTCAGCAAGCTGCATTTCTAATTGGGAAGTGGGAGACCCAGGGAATGGAATTTTAAATAATCAAGATATGGAAAATTTCTACCTGCCTTTTTTGTGTGGGGGGGTGGGAGGACAAATTTTCAGGGGAGTTTTTCCTGGAAAGACATTTCTAGCTTCTTTTACATACATTTCCTTTCCAGCCCCCTTCCCTGGTCTGGTTTCACAGATGCATTTTCCTAAAATCCCTGACCCTTTTCCTAGAGGTGGCAGATTGTCAGCCTGCAAGTAGGTTTTGTTTGGCTTGACGCATGTTGTACTGGTTGTTTGGTTTTGTGGTTTGTTTCATTTTACGTAGTGCTTCTTAAAACAGCTACTCGCCAGCGTTTAGAATTCAGATATTTTAGATGACAGTATGGATTGTTAGACTTCAAAAAAGGAGCAGCTCTAATGTTAGATTTGCATTCTCACATGGTAACCTGCTAATGGAGTTGAGTGGCTGTGGTCCCTATCATACAGGCATAAAAGCTCCTTCGGTTTAACAGTAGATACTTTTTGTTCCTCTTATCTGCCTTGCTCCTGATAACATAGCCCCTTCTTTGAGTAAAATTTAATCCACACTTTTTGGAGATTGAAGTTAATTTTCATATAGTGGAGGGAATTATTAATGGATTTTTGTTAAGTGATCTAATACTGTTGATATTGGCTAAATGTGTCAGCAATTTGAAAAAAAGAGCGAAGACCTTAAAATATATTTCAGCTCTGAGGGATATGTTCATTTGTCCTTTTTGGTATCGTAATCCTTTTGACATCAAGCCTATAGCCACTGTCAGTTCATATACCAGGCCCTGTGAGTAATACAAAATTCTAAATTAAATTCCACATATAACAGTTTAGATACTTCTTGTCATCTAATTAAACATATGTAGTCATAGAAGTGCTGGGAAGATGGGTGGCAGGAGCAGACAAGGTAGGAGAAAATCATGATAAAAATTTCCCAGTAAAATATCCACTATAATTAAAGCCTACTAAGACTCGATCTTGAAATAAAACGAACCCCAGAAGTCTAGTGTTAAGATCTTGAAACCCGAAAAGTTGAGTCTCAGACTATGCTAGTGAAGGCTGTAAAGGTTGCAAGTGTTTGTTCAGCCAAAAATAACCTATTTTATGAGAACTCACTCACATCCTTGTTGTGGTGATTTTCTTTTTGTCTCTTGGTAGGGAAACTACATGTGACTGGTTGGAAGTGGGGAGCAGGAAGGTAGTGTCCAAGTCTGCCTCCTGTCCCCAGCCCATGGACATTTCTGACCTAAGAGTGGCATAGTTCAGTGCACCAACTTGTGTTTTCTGTGACATTGTTCACATTCTTCTGAGTAAGAGTGTTAGGAGGATGGGAAGGGACTTTTTAAAGGCAAAAAATGAAACCTGAATTTTGTAACGGCTTTCAGGGTTGGAATGTTTTATCCTATGGGGAAAGTATGGTAAAAGTCTTATTGTACAAGAATGAATTTTTGGCTCAGTGGGTATAGGTTTTGAGACTTAGGAGCTCATGTCAGAGGACTTGAGGTCAGCTTATGGAAAACACATCATTTCTACTAAGCCCTTAAAAGACCAAGTAAAAAATCAAATGTGCCCTGATCCAGGAATTCATATCCTGACTTTGTATGTCGTGGTATACACAGTCCCACAAGATTTGCCAGTGTGTCCTCCTGAAAAATTGCCATTTTTCCCTGTGGTACAATCTGAATGTGCTAATATGTTGTGCAATAGTCTATGGATCTGACTGTTTAAAATCATCCCTCCATTGAACTTGAGGGAAGTTCTCTCAAGAAGGCTCTGTAGTACTTAAAATGATCTACATGGTTAATACATCTACCTTCCACTTTCTTCTTCTAAGGCCTAATTTCCTTCCTCTGCTTAGGGGGTGGTATATGCCTCTAATAATAAGTACCTTTACTTATTTATAAAGACTAGTTTTTCTAATTCAGCAGGAGGGAAACCAGTGAAAACATGCCCCATTGTTACATGTCTAAGCAGATAACCGATGGGGAGTGGAATTACATTTTCAGTGTGGCATCCGAATACATCTTAAAACTTCATAGTTCTCAGAAGTCTTGTCTGGGTCTTTGTTCTTGACTTGAGAAATATGATGACCCCATTCAGCGTTTTTGTTAATGACCGCTAACTAGAGGCCTTTCTCTCTTCTTTTATGAGCACCTGTAAAAAAGGAGAGGCATTAATAGCACACAATGAGTGTCTGGCTCAGTGGTTCTTAACCTAATTGTGTATCAAAATCACTTGAAAAACTTGAAAAAGAACAGATTCAGTTGGTCTTAGGTGAGGTACAATCCTTTTAAGTTTCCCACGTGATTTTAATGTGTGCCAAACCTAAGACTCACAAGCCTGTGGGTTTCCAGACTGTTTCCCCAGAGCGCCAAACTTCCTGAAAGTGCATTAGGAGCTCCCTTGCAAGGAAATGAGTGCAGACACATGGAAGGGACTCTGAAAACCCACTCTCCTTGACCACCCCTGTCCCCTCTTCTGCCTGAGCAGTATGTATTTTGTCTACTTTATATATTAGCTTTCTGTGTGGATTTCATCTGTCAAAAATAAAATGGGGGAGGGCGGTTGCACTCCTTTGAAGGGGAAAAGATTATAGCTCTAGACATAGGTCTTATGCAAAATGATTAAACAGATGTTTCAGATTCAGTTCTTGAGCATGGTGAACCCTGAGTTCTTCTACAAGAATCTCTGTCATGTAGCCTCTGAGGAATGTAGGAAAAGAAAAGGAAATATTTTGGTATTAGATAATAACCTAGTGTCCTGGCCTTTTACTCCAAGTGAAAAGAACCCTGATCAATAAAGTAGGTTACTTTGCTAAGCAGAAGGCTGCCCGAGGCCCCAGTCTCAGTATCTTCACTTGGGCTTACATTTTTTTCCATTTAGTTTAGCTCTGTTTTCCAGTTTACCCCCAATAATTTCCACTTGTTATATTGACCAGTTTACTCATTTGCTTGTCCTAAAGGCCTGCATTAGTTTGTAGACCTGATAAAGCAATATACTAGCAATTTGCTGTTTGCAGGGATATTTCACTATCTTTTAAAACAAACCATCTGTACTTGACTAGTACAAAATACTATAACTTCTTGTCTGTTTCTTCAGAAAGATGTTAAGGTATTTAAAAACCATTAAAAGAATTACTATCTTTTATTTCACCTCAAGAGAAAAATAGTATAGCTCTTATCTATGAGGATAGCTTGTTTGGTATTAGAACTATGTGCAAAGTTATGAAAGCTGTTCATTTTAAGTACTATAGTAAATCTATTTACAGAAAACCAGATGGTATACCTGTCTCTTGATAGGCTTCATTACTTTTTTTTTTTTATCTAGGTCAGATCAAATCTAATTAAATTGTTCTTCTGCTTTCTCTTTTATTATTTAAACACTCATTGCTTCTGTGGTCTCACTAATGGACTAATTTCCTGAGATTATAAATTGGCATGATTTCATTTTCAGATTCCAGCCTCTCTGCCATCATTTTCCCTATTTTTTTGACACTGTTTTATGCTGTATCACAAAATGGATTTGTCCTTCTGAAATCATTTACTCACTTATAATTAATAAATAAACTGTGCATCCAAGGATATTTATTCTAACGGCACCAAATTTCGTATTTTTGAAAATCAACCATGTCTTTTAAAAAAATAAGTTAGCAAGTTAGTTTTACTAAAAAAAAAAAAAAAAAAAAATTACAGCTGTTGCCCAATTCCCAAAGCAAATTAGTAGGGAAAGTTAATTTTTAAATTTCAATAGCAGTTCTATACCATAAAATTGCTATTGCCATTTTTTTTTTTTTTGGCTATTATACTCTTTCTTATTATAACTTACAACTTGGACCAGAAAAGTATAGAAAGAGCATAATTTTAAAACATACAGCATAACTTTTTTTTCTTTTTGTAGCATTAATCTTATCACTGGTCATTTAGAGGAACCAATGCCAAACCCCATAGATGAAATGACAGAAGAACAAAAAGAATATGAAGCCATGAAACTTGTCAACATGCTTGATAAACTTTCCAGGTATTGTATTCCCATCCATATTTTGCTTGGTTTCTAAAAGTGTTCTATTTCTTTGTCTCTCTCACTGAGAGTTACCATAGAACAGCAACTCTGGAAATCCATGTTGATTGGAACAGGGTGGCCCAGGCAGCAGTTTTCTTTTGGCTACCATGGTTTTTCTACATGTGCCGCTTCTGGATGTGCATTCTTAAACATTTAAACTGAAAGCTAGGATAGTAACGACTAGATCACTGTGACATTTAACCAACTAACCTCCCTGTCTTCAAAAAGATGCTTATGAGATAGGTTCAATGATTTTGCTGCTTCTTGTACTTTTTGTTGTAGTCTGTTTTGGGTTTTGTTCCAAATCATGATGCTTTTTCTTTTTTTCATTTTTGATGTGCAAGTCTGCAATTCTATATCTTTTGGGGTTGCTGCTGAAACCAAGAATTCTAAAATGTTATGCACCCAACAGGAAAAAGTGAAAAGGAATAGCTCAAATGATGGATTTCTGGAAATAGGCACTTCTACTAATGAGGGGTTATGAAAACAGTCTCCCCTTCTTGCTTCATACCTCCTTTCCCTCCCAAAATAGCCAGTTTTGAAAATAATTTAATATATACTAATTAGTATCTAGTTATTTTGGAGGAGTTGATAGAAATATTACTTGCTTTTACACTTGCATGAGTTGCTCTATTTTCCAGTCAGACATTGAGTCACTGTCTCCTTTAAGCCATCTTGAGTGTTTCAGTGTGCTGGTGGCAGCTGCCACTTAGTGCATTTCTTCTGGTCATCTCCTTTTTCTCACTACTACTATGTGAAGACTAGTAACCCTTAGTCAAGAAGTAACAACTGGAATGGGGCAGCCTTTTGGCTTTTTAGCCAACTGGTTAAAGGGAAACAAAAAAACGGGCACAATCTGAACTTTCGTCAAAGGATGCTGATAAAATGGCAGATGTTATTTAGAAATAAGTAGCTTCGTCATTTATAAATATTAGTATGACTATAACTTAGTGACTTTATGGCTAGTTCTTTTAAATTTCATCCTTTCCCAAAAAGATAGCTCTTTGCAAATGACATTGTTCATACCTTGGTATAGAACAGACATGTTCTTCCATGATATTCCATGAAAGGATTTAGCCAAAAAGAAGATACTCATAGGGTAAACCTACAGGAGAGAGGATAACACATTCTGAATGAATAAGATTTGTGCTGTAGCTACTGAAACAGTTGTATAAGTACTATCCTTAGCATGAAAACTGTCAAGTGAGTCCATGTGGTGGAAGCTGGAGAGGGAAGTATAAACAAGGACCTGAGAGACCCATATTAGTAAGTTAGAGCAATAAGCCAGTTAAGTTGCATAAATTTCATTCTTACCAATAATACACTTCAACTAGCTCTTATACTCTGAATGAGTAAATTCCAAGCCAAGAAAGTGAAAGATTTAATTTAGGTACTTGAATTTCTGAAAGGGATACCATTTCTTAAGGAATCCCTGTAACAAGAACAGAAAACAAAGGTACTAGGTCCTTCTTTTAATCTGTGAGAATCCACATATTCAAGAAACTGCCAATAAATAAACAGCGTCTGAAATACCCAAACTGCCATTGATTTAAACTATGCTTCAAAGAAATGCGAACTCACCCAGAAACACCCAGCAGATGCCCAGCTCAGTCCAAAGGTGTTAGCGATTATAGCAGAACAAATATATATTGTGTTGACTTCAGTGGTTGCCATTAAAGTTGAAGCATAAGGCAACCTTGAGCATAGTCCTAAACACAGACTTTTTTGCATGAAATGTAATGGGTTTTTTACATTGTCTGCCTTTTTGTGCTTTCTAACATTTGCTCTCACTAATAACAAACTATGACAGAACTGTATGGAGATCAGCAGTGGGCATTCCAAAAGCAGGAATGCAAAGAATGAAACCATTCTTTATGTGTCTTATATGTTTGTCTTAAATTTCTTCTCTCTTTTCACTGTTATGTTTTGGTTTTATGGGGTTTTTTTGTTTAAGTAAAGAAGATTCCATAAAACCAAAGTAGTCTAAAGTCAATACAAATCAGGAGTCATTTATTAAGCAGCTACTCTGTGCAAGGCACTGTGCTAGGAGCTGAGGGAGATTCAGAGGTTAACTTGACAGTTTCTACCTTTGGGAAACTCGTGTTTTTGGTGGAGGAAATGGCTGCAATCTAGTCTAGAATTCAAAGTGGAAGGAAATAACAAAATAAGGTCAATGTTGAACTGAAAGCACCCAGGAAAAAGAGCAGTTCATTCTGTCTAGATAAATCTGGGACTGTTTCACAGGGAAGGTAACATTTGGGCTGATTCATGAAGTTTAAGATAAGGTGTTTAATACAGAGAAATGACCATTCCAAGTGAAGGGAAATTTATTGATAAGTCTTTGGTGTTCACACATGCATCTTTCTTCCCAAGAGCTTGTTTTGTTTTATCATTATTTGATTAACAGGTTGTCAGACTTACCATAGGGGAAAGCAAGGCCCAAAGAATTGCCGAGATCATTTCCAAGTTAATGAATGATGATAATCCATTTCCTTTTATAGAATTTACAAAACACTTTCACATACATTGTCTTTCTAGTTTCATAATAAAGTAAGATTAGGAACTTCATTTTCCAGAATGCAAGACCTTTGCTCTGTCCACTGTGCTCCTGTGTCTGTCAGAGTCAGTGTTTGCCAGAACACTTCCTAATCATCCTCTTCAGCATTGTGCTACTGGTTAGTTCCCTCAAATGTCACTCTAAGGAGGTTCTGCATCCCACCAACACTATTGTGCTCAAAGTGTACTGCAGCTTTGTCTGAATAACTTTCCTTCTCAAAAATGAAATCATTTTCTCCTGAGCCTGAATTTAAAGGCATGTGAGTAAAGGACAGGATTGGAGGTGATGTGGCCAAAGAATGGACACTAGACACTTCCTTTTTTCCATCCATAGGAGAGCAGATGTGAAGGACCTGCACCAGGATGGTGGTTAGCAACAGTGGCCCGTGCCAAAGCACTTACCAATGTGATGACTAAGGTTGGTCATGCCAAGTACTGTTCTGAGCCTGGTGTAGGATGTAGGTGTTATTCACTACCAAAACTATAAAAACCACCAATGTAAAAATTAAAATTAAATTTCCATTTTTGCCTCCTTGCTGGACATAGCTACTGCCTCAAGAAACTACCTTAGCAGCTTGATCTTCATGGATATTGGAGAGATTAGAATTCATTATCCTCCCCGTGAATTCCAGCTGACTTAGTAATATTCCAAACAACTTTTTTAGTCTAAGGATTGCATTTATGACAGATATAAATGAAGCCTTCAGAGTTTGTGACTAACCTGAACCCTATAAATCTCATCACATCTAGCTAGTACAGTGCCTTGTACCCTGTGGTTTCCCCAGTATGTGATGATGAAATGATGAACACAGCTGATCTCCAAATCTGAAGGTCAGTTTTCTGCTCTACAAAATAACCTACATGGTTTACGACTTTAAAGTATACTTTTGTCAGTATCATGTCTTGGCAAGATGTCATAAAATTCAGGGCTAGAAAGGAATTCCATAAAGTACTTCGGCCTATAACTGACTGATTTAATTACAAGGATATATTATTCCCATGGAATGATTATTGTAATATTTATCAAACATAAGCATTAACTCCCGAAGCATGATATTATAGAAAGCTTCATTTGACATTGATGTGAGAGGAGAGGTGGAAAGGGGGAAGAAATTTGCTTGCCTCTCCACCTCTTCTTTCCTTCTCTGAATTGGAAAAAAAATAAGTCCCTGCAACTTAAGTGGGAAATTAGAATGGGACTCATGTATGGTTAAGCAAGTCCGGTGTGGCTAATACAATTGCATTCACCCCAGCTACAGCACACAACTCATATGTAATAACGCAGCCTGCTCCAGAAAAGAGGAGCTAAGCGTTGGTTGGCTTAAGCTAAGGGAAATATTTCCAGTTTTGTTTTGACTTTTCTAATCTTCTTTAGTTCCTTAATTGGAAGTAGGACGCATTAATCTTCTCTACCCCATCACTGTTTAACAAAGTACATTGCCTTTTTGCTAATATATTCTATCAAAATCTTCTGAAGTTTGTTTATATAAATTTTTCCCATCTCTTCCTTTTCTCCTTATCTAAATATTTTTTCCAGCCATTGTGTACGATTTGGGACAAGACTTTCTGAATGAATACAGGCAGTATTATATGGGAATAGTTTCAAACATCCTAAAGTTGGGACAAGTGATTCATGACTGAAAAGTTGTAAATTTTTCTTAGAAGCAAATTACTCTGCTTACAAAAATAACTAATTAAACTAATTGTACCACCTTTATGATGAACTAGTCAAGGAATTGCTTTTCAAGTACATTTCAGGAATGTGATCCAATTTTAAAGCATTATGAGATCTATTGTAAAGTATAAAGAAATCATGTGTCTAGTCTGGTTACCACTAGCCTATATGACTCCTAAGCACTGAAATATGGTTAAGCTTAATATAAATATTAAGTATTCATCAACTTTCAAAGACCATCAAAAAAGAATGTAAAATAATTCAGTAACTGTTTCATATGGCTTTAATGTTAAAATATTTTTGATAGGTTAAACAAAATACACTTTTACCTGTCTTGCCTTACCTTTTCTATATGACTATTGGAACATTTAAGATTACATAAAGGGCTTGCATTTGTGGCTTACATTGTATTTCTGTTAGACAGTGCTATTCTATATCATTAAAATATACGATCAGGTTGCTTAGAAGTTCAATTAAAGAATCAAGGATCCAATTAACACATCCTTAAAGTGGCAGGAGAGGAATAATTTGAAAACTTGGTATTTTATATCTTTAGGTTATAGAAGTCCTGCCACTGGTTAGACACCTGTAAGTAGGATGTCATACTACCTTTGTGTAGTGCCTGTTGGTAGTCATTGTCACTTGAAGAATGACTACATGGACCTCTTGCGTTAAGCACTAGATGCAGTGGCTTCTGTCTCAGAGAAATATCAAATAAGAATAATATCACTGGATATTTACTCTTAGTTACCCTCCTCTAACTTTTAAGTTTTTTTTAGTTGGGAAGAGCATGTAATAACTTGTTATTCTTTTACTTTATTCAGCGGTGTCCGTTGGCTCTTGTGCAAATTTGGAAACAGGATAGAAAAGTTGTATAGAGAAATTACCAAGAAATAATAACGAACACCTTTATTTAAGGATAAAACTAAAATTTGTTCTTCTGGCACTACCTCTTTATATTTTCTTAACCATGCTATTTAATGTGAGGTGGGTAGCAAATTTTTAGAAACTTTGCATAATATCTTCTAATGGAAATGAGAATAAAAGACTAATATTTATATAGCGCTTTAAAGTTTAAAAATCTCCATTGATCATTAAAACAGCCCTAGGAATTAGAGCAATAGGTATTTTATTGGGACCAAAGATCAACACAAGATTAGACACCTGGTTAATGACATCCTGGACTCAGTTCTCAGACTCCAAAACTTGTTATTTTTTGAAAAATTGCCATCAGCTCTCAAAAATGTGTCAATATGATTTTTAATGTGACATTCTAAGCTTTAAATAAAGACAAGTCGTAAGCATATTTACCTGAGAAGAGGATATAGGTTTTGAAGACATGTATTCTTGCTTTTTCATTCCATAAATAAACTCAAGTATTATGTCAGATGCTAAATAAATAACCTATACTACAATCCCCCCCAAAAAACCCAAAACTTTGTATGAAAAAAAACAGTAAAATTGCTATAGAAATAAGTTTTTCTTTTGAAAAAATGATTATAGGTAGTCTAACAAATTATATTTTAATGTTATCTCATTAAGCAAACCTAATTTTGACATGGCTTCCCTATGGGATTGTAGGCAACTTGCAGCTACCATCTCAAAGTGTAAGGATGTGGTATGGATGATACGTCATATCCCTTTGACTTGGGAGTGATATTTTTATGCTACATATTTTACCTTCCCAGTTGTACCCACCCCAAAACATGATGGTAAGGCATGAGGGAAGGATCTCACAGTACTTCTGAAAGATGCAACCTGAAGATCTAGATTTTGCTATGGAAAAACTGCCATATCCTTTCTACTGGGCTGATGGCTAAGTGAAAGGTCACTGGACTGATCAACACTAGGAAGCCACCTGATGAAAGATGAAG